CATATTATTGGTATTGAAAGAAATTAATTTTTTGTTTTTTATATGAATTAATAAAAAAATATATAATTAATATAATTTTAGTTCGTAAAGCATATAACTTATTTACGGCTTCCAAAAAATTTTGAAAACCTTTAATGTAATGCAAATTGAATAAATTTTTTATTTGTTTTTATATTCATTGAATAAAATATTTAAAATACTATAATACTAAGAAAGAATGAAATTAACGAATTTTAGTTTGTAGCATTCGTGTCTTCAACCAAGAAAAAAATATTACCAAAAAGAAAAAAAGAAAAGAAAAGGGAAAACATTGTTTGCCTAAGGGAAGAAGACTTTTGGTCGAAGCCCATAAAATAATTCAAGTGGATTGTATGAAACCATGAATGGATCTAAATTGGGTTGGGCCAGTATATCCATTTATTTAGTGAACGGGCCCAGCATATCCACTTATACATTTCATTTCTCAAGCCCCTTCACAGCAACCCCAAAGTTACAGACGCACGAATTGCCGTCCGATCTCCTCTCCTAGGAACTCTCAGGCTGCAGGATCGACCCTTACAAGACCCGCAGGTAACTCTTACTAGACAATTTCTCACCGAAATATCGAAAATGGAGTGAAAAAAAATAAAATAAAATAAAATAAAGAAAGAAAAATGAAAATGAAAAAAAGGACTCCAATTTTGGGGTTACAGGAAAAAGGAAAAAAATTAGGGCTCTTCACACAGTCCCTACTGAGCGAAGATCACCTCTTTGCAGAACTCTACTTCACTTCCTCTCTCTCGAATTGGTATTCATTTTCTCTCCATTCAACTTGAAATTCATCTTGTTCTGTCTTGAATACATGTTTAGTTTTTGTTTGGTTGCCGAGAAAATGGAATGACAGTGGGAAAACTAGAGTTGAAACTGTTGTATCTCATGTCTATGTGTCTGGTAATTCGTATAATGTGTTCCTTTTACATAGCTATGACGGATATTAAGGAGCTTCAAAGTGAACTCAATTATGGGTTAGGTATCGTTTTTACATATATCAAGTGTGTTCTTCATTTCTTTGCTGTTACTGAAAACAATTTCTTCTGTTATGTACTAATTTTGAGCAGCAGAAAGTTATTTCCTTAATGTTTTCGTGACAAAGGTTGAATTTTTATTTGATTTATGGAGTTTTGGAAATTTGCTAAATGACTAAATCTAGCTGAGATGAATTAATGGATAATTTGGAAGACTTAGTTACAGTAAGGTTGGATGCGAATGATATTACTTTTTAGGGTATTAAGTGGTAGCTAAAAGTGTGTTATACGAATTTCTGATGGTCCATCCATTTAGTCAAATTTTAAATTTTAAATTTGTTTCTGATTAATATCTTTCTTGTATTCTCTTCTCCTACAGAGTATAGCAGCATTATAATCTTATATTGCTTCAGAGTCCAGGTTAAATCTTTACGTATACCTGTGTTCTGTTTGGAGTCCCATAAGGACATGTCATCTGATACCACCAGAGAAAATGCATCTGTAGTTGATTCTTCGGTGACAGAATGGAAGTATGACATTGGGAATTCAGATGATCCAGGTAATTGAATAGTTGTATTCTTAACATTTTCTAAGGCATAGTTTCTTGTATTTGGAAGTAACACTGTTTGGATGCTGATCCTCTATAATCCAGTTTCTACTGGTTCAGTCACAACCATATTCTTGAATGTTGCATATTGGGTTATATTTTGTGTCTTACCATGTTCTTGGTTCTAAAATTTCCACTGCAGTTCACTTTTTTCCAGATTTTTTTCCTTAAGTAGGCAACTAGTTGTCGTCTACTTTGCTTGATTCAGCAGATGCGTTTGATAAATGATGCTTATATTTGTAACTTTTTTTTAAAGCAGAATCTGTTATAGTTTGGAATTTGAGAAGTGAATTTCAATTCCCTATTATGGCTGATTATCAATAGTCTTGTTTTTTCATTTTCATTAAACTCCATTAACATAAATAAGCTCTTGTTTCCATGGTCAATGTCAGAGTGCTCTGGCTACAAAGCTAATGAGGATGGTTATCCAGCCAGGGTGCATGGACCAAGGCATTCTCGAGAGGCAGACAACAGGGGTAAATTGCCTAATACAAGATATTTCATCATTAAGAGTTTGAATCACCAGAATATCCAGTTATCAATTCAGAAAGGCATTTGGGCTACTCAAGTCATGAATGAACCAATTCTGGAAGACGCATTTCATGTAAGATATCTGTAGGTTCAAACTTTTTTCATTTTCAAATTCTTGATGCTTTATTGAGAAGCATTTACTCGTCTTGCAGAACTCTTCTAGAGTCATATTGATATTTAGTGTCAACATGAGTGGTTTCTTCCAAGGTTATGCCCAAATGATTTCCTCTGTTGGGTGGAGGCGAGATAATGTTTGGAATCAAGGAAGTGGTAAGGGCAATCCTTGGGGACGAAGTTTTAAAGTCAAATGGCTGTGCTTAAATAACTTACCTTTCCAAAAGACTCTGCACCTGAAGAATCCATTGAATGACTACAAACCGGTCAAAATTAGCAGAGACTGTCAGGTGTCCTTTATGAAATTTTTTCAAATTAAACCATAAAACCTCTCTCCTCCTTTGCAGTTTTAAATTGATGCCTTCTGTTTCAGGAATTACCTCAAGATATAGGGGAGGCTTTGTGTGATCTTCTTGATGAGAGTATTGATGTGGATGGCTCACTAAACAGGTATCTCCAGGTTTTGCGTTATGTTAAACTTGTGCTCACAAGTGTTATTGGTTGTCACAGATTTACAGTTTAGTAGTTTTACCAGGGACTATTTACCTTCAAAAAGGCCTTGTTTTGAGCCTCCAAATTCCCTAGGAGAGGAAGATTATTCTGTGCCTTCGCAGCTTATGTCCTGGCATAGAACATCCATGCCTTATCCTTCCTTCCTCTACCAACATCAAGCTGAAGTGAGTAGATTTCATCACCAGCATTCTACTGGTGCTACTGAATTTTTGCCTATTACCTCTGGAGCATGCAAAGTTGCAAGTATGAACACTTCTAGCATCAAAAAAACTCTCACTAGTCTATAAGTGAATCGTGATATGTCCACTCAATTTCGTGTTTGGATTTATCTGCAGAAAGCCCTCTTGCTAGTACTCTGACTGAGGATGATTTCCTTGAAATGGTATGGGAATCGTATCCCACTTTCTAAATTCTGTTAATTTTAATTTATTTTATCTGTTTAATTAGTATCTTGAAGGCACTTTTGGATGTTATATACTTTCTTTACATTCATGACATAGTGTCAGAATAAGATAATATATATGAAGGTTTCTTCACTTGCTAATTTAATTGTTTGTTTACAGTTGAAGCATTTAGCTTGAAAAATGTTTAAAGATAGCAGTGTATCTTTCTAGTTGATTCATATTCATCTTTTGAACTCATTCATTAATGCCAAAAAAAATGGAAAAAAGAGGGAAGGAAAACCTCATTCATTACTTTCCGATTACTTGTTGGGGCATAAAAGATTCTCGTGTAATTAACCATTAAGTAGACATTATCTCTGGTAATAGATGAACAATGATTTGTAATTTGGTATCCATCCTAGTAATTGAACATAATCTCCATGTAAATGTCCTTACTCTGGATTTTTTGGTTGCAGACATATGAAGAATACCTTGAAGCCCATAGTAGAACCATCAAACAGATGTGCCTCCCAGTAAGCATACTTATCTATTAATGTCTCACTGGTCTGTTTGTATGTGTTGCCTGTAACCTTTGATGCACTGTTACATGCTTTAACATGTTTAATTGAACTGGAACAAATTTTTGGTTGATCATTCATAATCTCCAAACAGTTAAAGATATAAAAATGTTATTTTAGTCATCGTATCATCCCAAGGAGATCTCAGCTGTGGGACATATATTTTATTGCCCGCATCACATGAACTGGCAGAGTATATTGATTAACTCGTGGTTCTCTATCTGAAGACTAAAAACATGTTAACTAAGATGTCCTGAACTGAAAAGGTAGGAAAGGAAAAGTTTAAGAGGTGTAGATGTGTCTGAGATTTATGAGCTCACATAGTCATGACTTGCCTCCTTTAGACACATAGCTTAGGGCTTTTCACTTGGGGTATCTAATATACATTCTTGTTCTTACCTGATGTCATCTCTACGATGTAATTTGTCCTGAATTGAAGGGTTTGATCCCTTTGCCAGGTTGCTGCACCATCTCGGACCATGCAGGAGTCAACCAATAGAAAGCATGAAAAGGATTCGTGAGTTCTCAAGAACCATTGCTGAATCATAGAATTCTCTTTTAAACTTCCTGTTCCTCAGCTTGATCACATATTCTATGCAGAAGCTCAAGCTCTGCAACTGACCGTCGCCAGTCAAGGAAGAGGACACACTATTCCTCTTAAGACTGTTTCTGTTGGAGTATTGACACCCCATAAGCGGGAGAGAGTGAAGCCAAATTTGTTCTAATAATACAATATTGGGGAGATGGAACCATATATGTTGTCATGTTGTACACATTTTATGTACTCTATTCTATCATCTGATTACGCTAAAATATTTTACAAGGTGCTCTACTCAACTTGTACATAAAGTGATTTGTTTCCTTTTTTTTTTTGGTGATAAGATAGGCAAGATGATACTGGCAGGTAGAGTAATATTTATTATAAACATTATTTTAGACTTTAAAGGTGGTAATATGCAGAAAGATGCAAAACCATATGTAAATAAAACCTATGGTAATTATCATTTTTTGAGGACTTATTATATATATTGATTCTGGTGTTTTAATTATCATTATTTTTTGATGATACTGGCAGGATTAAAAGAACTTGTAACCACTAAAGATTTATTATTTTGAATGGAAAGTGTCTGATCATTCAAGAAGTAGAGTTCTTTCAGTTTTTGTTTTTTTATTTATAATATTTAAATTCAAAACTTTATTTATAGAATTAACTTATTTTATTTGAACTAACAAATTATTAATTAAATTAATCAAAATTAAATGTAGTAGCAAATAGTTGAGGATAATAATAATAAAAAAAAAAAAAAAAAAAAAAAAAAGCCACCCGTAAGTACTGGACTCGGACTCCGTCACCGTTCTGTACAAAACGCACCAAAATTACTGAAGGTTCCGTTGTGACTGCTACAAACAGGTTCACCCTCGTAAACAACTTTTTTTGCTTAAGTGAAAAGAGTTTCGGTTTTTTTCGAATAATGTCTTGTGTTTGACTCTAGATGAAAAGATGAAAAAATAAATGTGGAGGGAGCTTTTTTTTTAAACAAGTACAATGTAGTTAGATTTCAAATTAATCGACTTAATGTAGTTAATAACAGGAGGTTAATACTAAAAATAAGAATAAAAATAAAAAGCAGGTTCACTTTACATTTTCCATTTCCTTCTGCTTCAGACAGAAGTGAGAGACGATGGGAGAAGCACCAGCGACGATAACCAAAGAAGATGTAATAGCAAAACTCAAGGACGACGGCGACTTCGACAGGCTTCGCCTCAAAATCATTCGCAACCTCAAACAAAACGTACCTGATCTTGATCTTCCCTCGAACTTCATTACTTTCTTCTTCCTCTTGATTTAGGAAACAAATTTCTTTTTCAGAATGCTGAATTTTAGGAGCAAAGAAAACACTATTTCATTCTTTGTAATTGATTGATTAGTGGGTAGGGAGTAATTTTGATTGAAAGCTGGAAAATAGTACTGGGTATTTCTTTTGATCAAAGAGCCCCGCTCCATTGATATCTTTACTTTACACACTAATTGTGCAAATTGAAGGCCGCCATGTTATTGGTTAGATTCTAAGTTTCATATCTTATATGAACCGTTGCTTGAAATCCCAATCCTCTCAGGTCAGTTTGGCAGAAAAAGGAAGTTTTTTCTTTTCTTTTTTTTCTTTTTTTTGTAGAAATTTACTTAGGAAACATGTTAGACATTCAAACTTTTTAGATATGGAAATACACTTGTTAGTTGGACTGCTTTTACTGGAGATGGGGGATTGCCTAATCTGGTTGGTTATTTTTTAAGGTTCTTAGTAGCTGCTCTGTCCACTTGGTTGTTCAAGATCAAGAGTGCTGTTCTTGTTTATGTTTGCAATGCAAGACTCTATCACAATATCTGCTTTCATATTTTTATGTGCCTTCATGTGAACTTGTTTAGGGAGGTTGTACTGTCAGATCTGTAGAACTTAATTTCTGAGTCCCAATAGATTCCAAAAATGTCTATATATATGTATTGGCTGCTTTCTGCAGGAAGAACTACGTGATAATATTATTGCGGTGGTGAAACAGTCAGCAGCACTTAATCGTTCGGATGCTGAAAATATGAAACCAAGACAACTTTTGGATGCCATATTTGATGAGGTTGGGTAAGGTTTTTCTTACTTCCAAAGTCAACAATCTTAGTTCTATAATTCTTATATCACCAACTCTTTGAAAACACATGTTAATTTTTACTCATCTCTTATTAACTTATAACTGAACCATTCACTTAATTTCTGTTGCTAATTGTTTTCATGCTTATAATCATTAGGGACAAAGTGATGGGTCAGATTTCTGATGGTCTATGGGACATAATCAGATCAGAGGGCGGGATGAAAAGTGAAATAACAGAGACAGTACAATCTGTCTACGATAAGTTAGTTACTCCTCAGGCTCAAAGGATAGAAGGTGAATCATCTAACCTAGATGTGATGCCAGTTAAAATGGAAGCTGACCAAAATGGATTCAGCATCAGAAAGGCCTCAGCTGATGGAGTTGATGATATGTTATCTGATGGTGAACCAAATGAGCCACCGGGTTTCTCCCTGTCCAACAACCATCGAGGCAAACACCAGCAGGAGCAGCAGCTACCTTTGCCCTATCAGAATGGAACTGTAGAAGAGCAGAAGGAGGACCTCAACTACACAGGGAATGTTCAGGAGCAGGATAATGTTGATAGCATTATGCCACTTGGCTTTTCAGCAGACATGGAGGACAAGCAGCCATGCAATGATAGTGATGAGGACCCTGAAGTGCCTCCCGGATTTGGTTAAAAAGTCAACTTGCAAGCCATTTGTCCCTGCTATATGCCACTGGTGAGACCACACAGTGAAATGTGTGCCTGGTTGTCTTTTTTCCTTCTGGAAGCCCTTATCCGATGTTCAGGCAGGGAGCTTTCTAGTCTTTACACTCCATGAATTGAAGATGAGATGCTTCCGTTACTATCCTATATTCTTTCACTAAGGTGATTGGATACAATTTTTTTGAAATAATTCATTGGATTAGATTATAGATACAATTTTAAATTGATGAGAGATTAATGATATACCAGAAAGTTTTTTCCCATTCGCCTATTCTACTTCGGGCTTCATGGTGTTTACTTTCATCTGTACTAATTTATGATTTTGCAATATATGAGGTAGGGATCTGAACCTTAAGCTATCTGTACCTCATTTCCGGCAGGGCTGTTTTACTTATGATGTGAACCATCTTTCCATTTGTCTGAAATTTGGACCTAATTTAAACACTGTTTATGTTTCACGTTAATATTAATATCATCAGATGTTTCTTGTTAAAACTCTCCCACTCACATTGTATTGGCTTTTCATTAGACAACCTTTATTGATAATAAGATATCAAGCGCTGTATGTTTCAGTGGCTTATTCCGGCTAAATTGTTGATTAAGCACTCTTAACTTTTCCAGAAATGACTTTTAAACTCCTGAACGGAAAAATACTAGTCCAAGCTTCTGCTGCCCCAAGTATTCCTCATTCAAAGATGATAACAATCGGACTCGTAACGTTATACTGAGGAGAAACCCATTTGAGATGTCCCTGGGAAAATGTCAAGTTAATGTTCGGTTTTCTTCTGAATTGCACACTGTAAGTTACCTTCTGGTTCACCTCCGAGAAGGTAATATGATTCGAGGATAAAGCAACAGACACTCCCTCTGGCGTAACAAGCTCAGCAGTGTAGGATGAGTAGGCCAGGCCAACGTTTGTCACTGTTCTTGTGTATTCCTGGATACTAGACTCCCCCAATAATATAGAAAATGAAGGGTAGTTTAGTTCTGCGTCAGGTATTGCTGATATGTTGGCGCATGTCACGGGCCGGGAGACTATGGATTCTACCTCTTTGTCGGTGTAATTCAAACCGCACAAGTAAGGAATGTAGTCATCAGGTTGGATATCATAGATAAGCCCTGGATCGTTTGCTCTTGAAGGGTTAACATGGCCTGCACCGGTTGCAAAAATATCAGCTGGGAGATTAGTCTGATCAACGATTGGGCTGCCTTCAAGGTTTACTAGATCAGCTGTAGTCATGATTGCAGATTTAATAGCAGCCGGAGACCAGTCCGGATGGGAGCTCTTCAGCACAGCAGCAATGCCACTGAGGTGAGGGCATGACATTGAGGTGCCTGAAATCATGTTGAATGTTGATTTTGCGTCTGTTTCATTTTCAACAGAAACCGGCCAGGCAGCCAGGATGCTCACACCAGGGCCAATGATATCCGGTTTCAGGATCCCGGGACTCTGCAAATTAGGACCTCTAGAGGAGAAAGAAGAAACCTCAGGAGCAGATGTCTTCCCAATCTGAGTACCCTCAAAAAGGATTGTAGCTGTTGGACTTGAAGAAGACTTTATGTAGGCTTTGATGCTCACCCCTGCTGCATAACTCACATGTGTTGCTGGAAGTACATGAGCATCGGCTAATGTACTATAGCCATCAGGCTCTTGATTCATGAGAATCATCGCAGCACCACCATTGTCCTTCACTTCCTGGCCTTTTGCAATTCGTGCCACCCCACCTCCTCTCTCACACAACACAACCTTGCCTTGAATGCTTGCATTTTTCAATGATCCTGAGGCACAGAATGCAGAGGATGACGCATCACCATATGCACCTGCATAAACAAGGGGAGGCATCGCAGTAAAATTAGGCTGGAAAAGAGATTCGCCATCAAATGTATGTCCATTTCCAAGCTTTGCTGTTGCTAGAATGGTCCTATCAATTGTGCTTGCTCCTACTGTTAGAATCCAAGGGGCCTCATTTGATAAAGTGAAATTTCCAGGACCACCATTTGCGGCTGAACAACTCACAAAAATTCCCTTCTGAATAGCAGCAAATGCACCCAGAGCAACTGAATCTGCATAGAAAGGAACGGAAGCACCACCAAGAGAGAGCGAGAGAACGTCAACTCCATCATCAATGGCAGCATCCATGGCGGCCAATATGTCAGTATCCAAACAAGTAACTCCGCAAACCTTGTACATTGCCAAGTGAGCCAAAGGCGCCATCCCCACAGCCGTACCATTAGCATTACCAAACACATTGGCATCCTGCACAAAGTTTCCTGTAGCTGTGCTCGACGTGTGGGTCCCGTGACCATCGTCATCCACTGGTGGCTGACCTGCGGAATCACTAACAAAATTTCTTGCGCCAATCAGCTTGTTATTGCATCCCGTAGGAAACTCACATTTCCCTTTCCATTTAGTCGGTGGCGGAGGCATTCCTTCATCGCTGAATGATGGGTGACCAGTTGTTACTCCGGTATCGAAGACTCCAATTATTACTCTCTCACCATACTTCGATTGCTTCCACATGCCAAAATTCTGGTGCAACCCCAAGAAGCTTGGACTGTGAGTGGTGTGTAGAGAATATCTCCTCTGAGGACGGGCAGATATGAATCCTTCCTTTTGTTTCATGGCCTCTACTTCCTCTGCTGTGAGCTTTGCAGCAAATCCAGAGATTACATGTCGATAAGAATAAACCACACGGTTGGCCGGTATGAATGAATTATGCCAATTGTCTAACAAGCTTCCATCTTCTGGTTTCTTGACATGGACAATGAAAGTTTCCAAGGCTGTTGCTGAACTCTGGACTTCTTGCGCAACTGCTGAACCGAAATTAAAGATAAGAATGAGACTAACAAAGAAGATAATGACCATCATTTGCAGGGGCATTGAATTTTTGTTCTCCATCTTTGCTAGAGAAACTTGAGAAATTGGTGCACTGAATTACCTCAACTCCTTGCCCTTATATGTAGTATAAATGGTAATGACCGGCGTCAGGATGCATGTTGACATGTGTGGAGTACTAGGCCTGTTCTACAGGTCGCGACTTGTTGGATGGGCGAGATTGCCAAGTGACGATGCAAACAACGATGAATGCTTTTGGACAGCAGCCAATTAATTACTATTGTCAAAACAAAGCAAAATTTTGGTTGGATTTTCGGAGAATGATCCATTCCCAACTGGCATCTGTCATCTGGGCTCTCAGGAATGTTTAGCATCATCAATGATCTCATGATGTTACTACATTTTTTTCTGGTAAACTACTAAAACTTGTGGTGGTATTATTATTTAATAAAGACTAAAGCCATATCTCATCAAGAGCCTATAGCTAGTTTGCTGAATACAAGCAAGAACTCTTTCTCCACACACTTGTTCCACCTTCACATGTCGGCCATTATTTAGTGCAACTGGATGGGATGTTTGTACAATTTAGGTAGGGGTGGGCATTTGCTTGGGTAACTGAAGGGTTACCTGGGAATCGACTCGAAAAAATGAATTCAGGTTTATGCTAACGATTTTCAAGTTTTAAATCTTGTGTTTGGTATTACCCGAATAAATTATGGGTCAGTTTTGGTTGGGTCTTCCATTATCAAAATGGGCCTCCTGAAAACCAAATTGGAGGCCCAATTTTTTTGTGCCTAAAACTTAAAAGAACAAAGGGGAATAACTGTTGTGGCACTAGAAGAAAGGAAACCCTAATTGCCACTCGCTCTTCTGTACCTCCTTTACTTCACACCTCTGCCTCGACCCAATTTTAAGTTTCCTCCACTCTAGATCCTTTCCCCCCTCCAAAATCAATTTAATCACTAGTCAAACCTAAGGCTAGGGATCTAATTTCCCTCCATCACGGCCATTCCTTCAAGTTCCACCATGATTCTTTTTCCATTCAACAATTATTTTTTTCATAAGTATAAAATGATTTTGTCATCATATTATCATACTTGTTCATCGTTTTCCTTTCTAAATTTTGATCTATTTCTGAAACTCTCTTCTTTTCCCTGTCTTTTTCTCTCCATAGCAGCATAGCCAACATCAGTGATGTCGCTTGTGCTACCACCTGGCTCTAACCTTAATCATTTTCTCCTTGATCCTTCTTTGGTCATGAAACCAAAAACCCAATCCCTACCTTTCAATTCTCATCTAAGCTCTTATTCTCTCCCTTCAACTTCTATGACTCTGTCAGTGGCTGCCAGTGCTTGGTACTGGTAAAGCATCTAAATCTTCTATTAGTTGCCATGTGTGTTTCAATTTTGCATTTATATGGATTATGCTAACTATTAGCTTTGATCTTTCAATTGCAGTTCTTCTTCCTGTTTGTGTTACTATTACATTGATGGCAGAGATGCAACCTAACAACTTAAGAGTACGTATCTACACTTAAGATATATAAGAAATAAATTAATTTGTATTTAAACTTGCATGTTGGTTGATGTTTATGCTATGCTTATTGCATAACCAAGATGTTGATGGGCAACCACAAAATGTAGAAGTTGAATTAGTAGATGATTCCAAACAAGCACAACTAAGATGAGAGAAAGGGCATGTTGTTAATGGGAAAAGAAAGAAAGGTAAGAAAAGATCTAAAGTATGGGATCATTTTACTGAGATTGTTGATAAAGATGGGAAAGACAAGGCTAAATGTAACTATTGCAATAAGTCTTTTGCTTGTAATAGTATAACTAATGGGACTTTTCCTCAATGAAAACTCATTTACTGAATTATAGTCAGTATGCTAGGTCTAAAAAGAATCAAACAATGCTTAATTATTGTGGTGGTGATGTTGAGAATGTTAGCTAGATGCCTTATTTAGGCACCTAGAGGTTTAGCCCTAAGCCTGTGAGGAGGGCTTTAGTTGAATTGATCATAGTTGATGAAATTCCATTTAGTTTTGTTGAAAAGCAAGGGTTTAGGAAGTTCTATCAACTTGCATTACCCCCTAATTTTAAGATCCCATCTAGAAGGACAATAACCAGAGATTGCTATAATATTTATATGGACAAAAGGTTGAAGCTTAAATCAGTTTTCAAAGAATCTAGACAAAGGGTTTCACTTACTACTTACTCATGAACCTCAATTCAAAGAATTTCTTACATGTGTCTAACTGCACATTATATTGATGAAAATTGGAAGTTGCACAAAAAAATCCTAAACTTCTATCTTGTTAAGAGCCATAAGGGGGAAGAGTTAGGTGACCCTTTAGAGAGGTGTTTGAAAGACTGGGTATTGAAGAGGTATATTCATTGACTGTGGACAATGCATCATCAAATGGTGGAGTTGTTAGGGTTCTTAAGAATGCTCTCACCAAGCGGGGGACAGTAGTTTTGGGTGCACAAGATCTGCACATGAAGTATGCAACTCATATCATCAACCTTGTAGTTGGTGATGAAATAAATGAGGAGGAGATGCATAAAAGTGTAACTACTATTAAAGCTACTATAAAATATATAAGACAAAGCTCATTAAGATTAAAAAGATTCAAAGATGCTATTGAGTTTGAAGATATTGAAACAAAAAAAATGACTTTACTTGGATGTTCCCACAAGGTGGAATTCATTGTATTTGATGTCGGACATTGCAGAAAAATATGAGATGGCATTTAAGAGGTATAATTTCTTGTCTTAAGTTTTGTTTTGGTTCTTTTAGTTTGGTTGAGTTTATTTATACTTTTGTTTAAGAATTGTGAATAATTTGCTCTATTTTTTAAAGATATGCTAGAAGGGACAAATATATGAAGGTTGAATTGAATTATGGACCAAATGCACTTGGTTTTCCATCCTGTCTTGACTAGGAAAATGTGAGAAGGGTGGTTCGGTTCTTGGAGCACTTCTACTATTTAACTGAGAAGATTTCTGATAATTTATATACTACCAGTAATCTTCTCTTCCAAGAAATCAGTGAGGTTTGTCCCTTGAACTTACAAATTTCCTTGTCATCTTTTAAGTTTGATTTAAAATTAATTATATGTTAATAAATATATATATATATATGTATGCTGGCATATTATGTCATTGATTAATTTTTACTTCTAATTGAATTGTAAGGTTGATTGTTTGCTTAGATCTTGGGAGAAAGATGTGGATGTAAAAGACATGGCAAAATCAATGAGGGTAAAGTTCCACAAGTACTAGGGTACTCCTATAGAGATTTTAAAAAAAAAAAAAAAAAATTTCCATACTGTAGTGCTTGATTTGAGGAATAAATTAGGGTTTTTTGAATTTTTATTAATGAAAGTGTATGGTAAAGAGCAAGGAATGCAATATGGTAAAATGATTTGTTTTGAATTGAAGAGGTTGTTTGCTGAGTATAAGAAAATAGTTTCCAGTGGTGTATAAGGTCAAACTGTAATTCAAGAGGGTAGTACTAATGTTAGTGATGCCCTTAGTGATAGTGAGCCCAAATATAAGAGTAGGCAACAACTTAAGTTTGCTTACAAGACGTTCAAAATTTAGAACGGGCTCGTGTCAGAAAAAACTGAGCTAGATAAGTATTTGGGAGAGGAGTTGAGGATGATAGTGATGATTTTGACTTACTTGGATGGTGGAAGTTGAATGCTCCAAGGTTCCCTGTCTTGGTAGCAATGGCTAGAGATCTTTTGGCTTTTTCGATTTCAACTGTTGCTTTTGAGTTGGCTTTTAGCACGGGAGGGAGAGTTCTTGATGCTTTTAGATCATCTTTGACCCCCAAGAATGGCACAAGCCCTTGTTTGTGCCCAAGACTAATTGCGGAGTAAGTCGAGAATAGTTTTTGAAGAGGAAGGCTCGGATCTTCTAAACAGTCTCAAGAAATGTATGATCTTGTAACACTAATTTCTTTTGTTTTATTTAACATTTTAAACATGAATTGACTCTACTCTTCTATTGTTTATAGAATTTGACAAAGTCCACATGGATTCTGCCATTCTATAATGAATAGCTTAAAGACTTGGTCTTTGGTGTTAAGGTAATAAGTAAAGTAATCCCACTCATTTTTAACTAACTTTATTATGTTGGAATGAACTACACACTAGGTAGCATATTATTTTTTTTCTTATAATTGCTGGATTGATTTTTTTCTTAATTGTTGAATTTTTTTTTTCTTAATTACTGAATTGTTTTTTCTTATAATTGTTGGATTGTTTTTTTCTTAATTATTGGATTGCTTTTTTCTTAATTACTACATTGTATTTTTCTTAATTGTTGGATTGTATTTTGCTCGATTCTATTTTTCTTAATTATTGGATTGTATTTTTCTTAATCACTGGATTGTTTTATTCTTATAATTACTAGATTACCTTTTTCTTACAATTGCTGGATTCATATGCCTTTGCTTATATTAACCACATAATTTGTTTTCTTCTTTGTCCAACAAATAGATTCTCGTATATATATGGTGGAGGTTTTTTTGGGATCTTTTTATTCATATCAATATATCATAGATCAATCACCAATATTGCAACTGTAAAGAATCAAAGTTATGAAGCTTCTTCACTTTTTTGGACAATTTCATTCACTTGGACATTTGCATAGTCTTTTGCACAGCTTTAACTTGCTCAAGTTGCTACATTGTTTGGATAGCCTCACATTCACATATGCATTTGCTTACATCATAGAAAAATGCACAAATGAAAAAATGCACAGTGGAAGTTGCATCTCATTTCTTTTTTGTTAATAGCCTGACAATGGATGCACACTTTATAATTGTCATTTGATAGATATTGTACTAAGCTTGGTGTAGTCATCCATCACTTTAGATTTTTTATGAGTAAAAAACTATAGCTGCAAGTTCTATAACTTTTTACTATTACCTTTGTCTAGGCAATGTAATCTTCAATCTTGGATGATGAAATGAATGAAATATTGGGTTCTAGACTTCTAGTATTTTGCATGGTATGTTAGAATTATTTATGAATTTAGAAATTATAGCAAGTATGCTTTTGATATATTTTGATATTCATGTTATTATGTAAAAAATGCTAAAATTTGACTAAATATAGCATGAAATATAATCTATTATTCGGAAAAAAAAACTATTTAATGTTTGTTTAGTGAAAATTGAACCAAATATGAAATAACCAATTTTATTAGTAACCAAACCAAAAACAGAGAAGTTTGGTTCGATTTCAATTCTTAAAATTGAGGAAAAAAGTTTTGGTTAATTTGAAATCAATTTTGGTTTAACGCGAAACCGGTTTCTGCCCACCCCTAAATTTAGGTAGGAAATGTTATGACTATCACACAGGAACGGGTATAGCTATAGCCCGCAAGGGTTTGGCTTTCTCTAATGCAATCCCAAATTTCTCTTCCACGTTCATGGTCTCCGGCTTAACTCCACCTTCAAGCTTCCAGTCAAAGCAGTTTATAAGAGAACCCAACATCAAATGCAACATTCTTAATACAAGAGACAGTCCGGGACAAATCCGCCGTCCTCCACCGAATGGAATGAGCTCAAAGTCTCTGCCTTTTACATCGATTTCCGAACCCAAGAACCTCTCCGGTATAAAACAGTGTGGCATCTCCCAAATGCTGGGGTCCCTGCCTATAGCCCATGCGTTGACCAGCACTTGCGCACCCTCTGGCAATGTAAACCCACGGATTTCTGCATCAGCTCCAGCTCTGCGTGGGAGCAGCAGAGGCACTGGTGGGTGCATCCGGGGGTTTCTTTGATGACAGCTTCCAAGTACGGCAAGCGAACAATGTCTGATTCCTGTACCTGCTTTCCCCTCCCGATCGTTTCTTCTAACTCTGCTCTGGCTGTCAGTAAAACCTTAGGGTTTCAGTGCAATTCTGCTATTGCCCACTCTGATGTGCTTGAAGTTGTATCAGTTTCAGCCACAAATAAACTGTGTCACATTAGTTATTTGACATGGAATCAGAAGCTCACCTCAATTCTATAATTTGAAAACGGAGGAGAAATTAAAGAAAGATTACCAAAAAAAAAAATGTATTGTCTCCCTCCTGTTAAGCTCCACTGTTTTGTCTTCAATGATGTTATGAGTGTCCAAGACATCACTTGTGGTGACAAAACCCTTCCCTTTCCTCTGCTGCACTCGCACGTCATACATTTGATCGAAAACCTTAAGCAACTTTGCAGAAAGAATAGTCATCCTGCGTCTAATGCCTTGCGGGTCAATCTTTCTGAGCAGAGGAAAATAATCAGACAGGTTAGGCTTTGTTAGAAGTGCTGTTTGCATTGTAACTCTCCTCGATTAATGTAGTAGGTGTATTTAATAGTTGGTTGGAGGTTGAGATTTGATGCTTAGACTACAAAATGCATTTGGAAGAAAATGCTGCAGATATGTCAACTCCCCGGTAAACATGCATTAAATGTAGTTCTCTGTCTGGTTGAGGGGATACTAAGTAATGTAATCCCTCTTTTTATTTAAGCTGCAATTCTATGAAAAATCAGATGAAGATGAAGATGAAGAAGAAATGAATGAGAGAAAGGCTGGAAAAAAGAAAATCCAGACCTGTATTTTCATCAAAATCCTTTTCTTAATCTGAGTTCTTGTTCTTTAATCTTCTTAATCCAAAAATCCATCAGGCTGCCCTGCCTCAACCGTCATACTCTGCATAATCTTCTTGAACTCTTTTGCTCTTCCTGAATTTGAGTCAGCCAAATGCACAGAGAAAACTGTATTAGACAACAAATTCAATGAAGTATTGAAGGCGGTTTGGCCGATATCTACTGCTTCCCCGAGATGGCAACTTTCTTGAACCATGGCAAGGAGTTGTTCAATTTTCCTGCACCGTAGATGCTCATTGGCATCCAGTTTCTGACTGGCCAAGATATGTAAATTGCATATTTTGCGAAGGTTTCTCCACAGCGGAGAAACGGGTATCCAAGGCAGACCCACTTCATGGTGCTGGTGAGCTCGGATGGCATCAATGGCGATTTGGTTAGAGAAGATAAGGTCATTTTTTTGAAGAACTTCTTTGGCAATGGCTGCTGAGGAAACAACAACTGTGATTAATTAAGTTCCCTAGTTTCAGACTCATTATGGGGCCATGAGTTTTGGCAAGCTCAGCCAAGGACTCGTGGGGTTTGTCACCAAGATCCAAGAGATTTCCAAAGATCGGAATCCGCCACGGACCGGCGGAAGTTGGCAGTTACTTGCCCTGCTTCCACGCCTAATTGGATTTCGAAGAATTTGAACCAAGACCCAAATGATGAGAAGAGACAAGAAGCAACTAAAGAAGTCCATCTCTGACTATTTCCTTCCCCAAATGGAATTTGGACACTTACAGATTTGGTACAATATATGGTTGCAGAAGAAAATGACCCGTCCAGCATAATATCATCCTGAAAATGGTAGGTAGTACTGTTTTTTGAGTTAAAACCATTGTCAAAGACATAGTAATGCAAAAAATTTTTGAAATATTGACAGACAGGAGAGGTCTGTCTTGGTGCGTCTGTAAGTAGAAAGAAGCAACCAACTGTTATTTGTTAGAATTTCAGAAACACAGATCTTCATGAACCATGCATTAGCTGAATAGAGCAGAATAATACTAGTGTGTGTATATATATATCTTCTTGAACCATGCATTTGATTGTTGAATCACATTCTATTAAACAATTGGTGGAACATTCAAGTTGCTCATTCATCATCATTTTTTTTTTATTTTGGTGTGCGTGTAAATTAGTGGATAGCATTAGATATTAAACTGATACAACTGTCCTGCGAAGAACAGTCCCAATAGCATCACAATATAAAAACATATGAAACATCAAGTGGACATTGTTCATGGATAACAAAGGCAGAAAGTTAATTAGTTTTGTTCTTAGCTAAGTAGTCAGCAACCCCATTCATCATCATTGATCATGCGGAATTGAGATTTTTTGGCCGTTGTATTGAGATTTATTTAAATAATAGCATAGGTTAAAAATGTAATAAATATATATTTTTAATTATAGATTTATATTAAAAATAAAAATTAATTTTTAATTTATCAATTATTTAATTAAATTTATTTATATGATAATGATATTAAAATTATATCAATTTTTATATTTTTTAAAAATAATTAATCTCTATTTTAAAGATACAAATTAAAAATATTTTAAATAATTATGACCATTTATCTTCACTTGAAAATGACTTGAACTCAGTTCGTTAGAGTAGAAGTTCATATGTTAAGATAAAATTTAGAAACTTAGGCACAACGGTGTCGTGGTGTAGTTGGTTATCACGTCAGTCTAACACACTGAAGGTCTCCGGTTCGAGTCCGGGCGACGCCAGTGGTTTTTTTTTTTTTGTGCTATGACATAATTAATACGCTCACGCCTCAAAAGGGCAACAGGAAAAGTTGAGGATTGACTGATATCATTGACCAGAAATGGGATAAGGGCTTCAAAAACAGCCCCTATAATTGACCAAAACCTTGACATCACTGGCATGTGGCATCTGGTTTAGCCTATCTACCAACTGTTTCTCCATGTGTCATAGAGAAACTGTCCTCCTTGTCATCTCATAAAACCGGGTCCCGAGGCTACTAACTTGTCACCACTATGGCCCTGACAACGCGTTTGTCCCTGCAACATCTGCGCACAAATTCTGACATGTCATGAGACTTGCAGACTCACTTTAATCTCTTGTCTTTCTCTCTCTGTTCAATTGTAAATTGTTGCCTTTGTTGGAGTTGGAGGGGGAAGATAGGATAAGACAAGAATGCACAAAATACGAGAGGTGCATGTGTTATTTTATTAGCGCTGCGTTCTGTCATCTTAAACCAGAAATTTTCTTTCGTTTTTGGAAAGATAATGAAGCCATTAGTCCTTAACCCCTGCTGTCAGCTAAAATCACTTTCTTGAAAAATCTACTCTTGCTGCTACAGCTTGCAGAGGTATAGCTCAGTATATGTTGCAGACCATACTGTTGCTCTTTCTTTCATCCTCTGTTATTTGACTCTTATTCCCATACCTAAGAAATGGAGAGCCAATACTCCCTTCTCAAGATCGCTCCTTTTGAAGACTTGGGTACTCACTTACTCTCAACATTTTCCACAGTCCAGGCACAACTGGCTAGCTATGTCTCTTGCTATATAGGATCCCAATTTTAATTACATTTTTTCTTGATTTGTAGGGACTGGAGTGAGAAGTTTGGGTGATTCTTGGAATATGGAGAGTGAGAGGTCCACCGGAGGAGAAGGGTCAGCTTCAATTGGTCTGAGTCTGGAGCTTGGATGTGGGTCTGGTTATAGACAGCCCATCTGCCTGAAAACTTGTGGATTCACAGTTTTGCAGCTGCAGGAATTGCAACTTCAGGCCCTTATATACAAATACATGGAAGCTGGACTTCCTGTTCCCCAGCATCTTGTTCTTCCTATATGGAGGAGCTTTGCTAGCTCCCTTGATAGCCCCCATGGTGGTCTGTATCAATTCTTCCCCTCTTGTATGTGTCCCTAAAGCTTAAATCACGTTTTCTCAATTCACAAACAGAAAAATTGTACAAGAACATGACCTGTTTTCTATTTTTCAATTTTGTTCAGTTTTTGGGTATGGACCGCTGCATTTGGAGTATAGGAATGCGTTAGATCCAGAGCCAGGGAGGTGTCGGAGAACGGATGGGAAGAAATGGAGGTGCAGCAAAGAAGCAGTCCCTAATCACAAGTACTGTGAGAGGCACATGCACCGTGGCCGGCACCGTTCAAGAAAGCTTGTGGAAGCTTCTCAATCAGCCACTGTTACTGCTGCTGATACTGCCAGCACTAACCTCTCCATTTCCCTACCAATTGATAGCAACAGCACCAGTGTTTTTTCTCCCAAAAGCATTCAGCAACTGCAAGCAGGTAATCTAAAAACTCATCCTTATCTGTAACTGAAGAAAATAAAGAGGCGTTTTTCATGATTTAATGTATTTGGTAAGAGAAAAGTTTTGAGAGACTGATTATTGTGTTTCAAATATGAGAGACATTTGATATGGTTTGGTTGCTGCTTTGATTAATCTGGTTTCCTTTTAGGCCAAGCCATGAATGCTTGATCTCTCTTTCGTTTCATGTATTATCATTCCACAAATGTTCAAGTAGAAATAGGAAAAAAAAGTTTGGTTCACAATACCACAACTGCAATTCGACCAAAAAACAAAATAAAAAAAAAAAAATAACCATTACTGGACTATTCAATCTTGTCAAACTTGGGATTTTACTTAGGTTAAATCCCTATTTTGGTCCCTGAACTATTGTACGGACCCTTGATTTGGTCCCTAAACTAAAGAAATTCCTAATTTGGTCCTTGAATTATTGTACGGATTCTATGTTGATCCCTAAATTATTGTACGGACTCCCAAGTTAGTCCCTAAATTATTATATGGATGCCCAATTTGGTCCTTACTGTTTATCAATTTAACCCTAACTTGATTTTTTTGTTAAATAATAGCTTAGGATTCTTCTGTTAAATAATAGTTCATGGATCAAATTGGAGTGAAATTGTAAACAGTAAGGATAAAATTGGGGTCCATACAATAGTTTAAGGACCAACTTAGGTCAAATTATAAATAGTGGGATCAAATCGGGGTTTTGTATAATAGTTCAGGGACCAAATGGGAATTTAACCTTTTACTTAAAGTGGTTTTGATCATGTAAAATCAAGATCCTAAAATTGAATTGATAAATTTGAGAATTTATTAAATTTAATAAATAAATAATAAAAATTTATATTTTTATATTAACATAACTAAAATTTAACAATAAAAAATTAAATAGGGAGTTGAAGATTATAGCAACTCTAACAAGAATTAATTTTTAATATTATAATATATAGTAATATAAAAAAATTTAAAAGGAGAAATTATTGCTTAAATTAAATAACATTTAATTCTTTTATCCAAAAAAAAAATGCAAACTCCCAACAATCTCATCTGTTAACATAATCCCCCATGCATCGGGCTTTTCGGGTCAAGTGGTAAAAGCCACCCATGGTGCATTCTCCTCTCTCCAGGCTGGGGTTCGAACCCAATCCTTGTAAAATCTGTTAAAAAAAAAACATAATCCCCCATTAAGAAGACTACCTCTCGATCCCTTCACCCACATTGTTTTCTCCGCTCTCATTTTCCCTCTTTTCTAACATTTGCCTCCGTTCAAGCTCCCTTTCTCTTTATCTGCTCCTTTTTTTTGGCAACAGATTTTATCCTTCTTTGCTTTCCCTTCAACTTGGCTTACTCTTTCATCCTTGTTTCTTTCTTCGGCAATGGACTTCTTCCTTTTTTTGTCACATTTAAGCTTCCTTTCTCCCTGTTTCTTTGCCCCTTTTGAAAACATACATCAGTAAGAGTTTCTAAATCAAATGAAGAAAAGTTAACACTTGAAATTGAAAGCATGGGTGGCAATTTTAAAGCCAATCCGTTGAGACTCAATGCAAAAGTTCAGATTTTGTAAACCCATAGGTTCATCCAATTTTAAACGATTTTATAAGTTTACAGCGAGTCTAGCATGAGTTCATGAAATCCCAATTTTATAGACAATTTGATTTGTTTTCTATCCCTAGTGACATAAAATTGTATGAATTTACGAGGTAACTCACGTTGTTAATAACAATGGTTCTATGTGCACATGGTTAAGATTTATTTATATTTAATTTTTTAAAACATAAATTATATAATAAAAAATAATTTTTAAAATTTTTGACACAATTATTTTTTTTACTTAGATTTCTAATTTTTTTAATGTGTTTTTCTAATCTATGTCTTTAAACATAGGTTAAGAATATTTTTTTATATTAATTTTTATTTAAAAAAATAAATTTTAATATTTATTTAATTAATCATCTAATTAAAATGATATATATAACATTAGTGATAAAATTATTGTCAATTTTTATTATTTTTTATATTAATTAATATAAAATATATATTAATTGTATTCTTGACTTATATTTTAAAAAGTATAAATTAAATAAATCTTTTTTAATTTTATTTTAAAAAAATTATCATTAAATACTGTTTAGGCAACGGATAAGTGATAACGCTTTATTTCCATAATTTTGGGGATTGCTAACTTGAAACAGATGCCAATATGGCACATGGGCGAAGAGTAGCAATTGATTGCATGGCACTGAATAATATGATTACCAATTAGGCCTCTTTCGGCTAATTCATGGCACATTGGCACCAGGGCCACTGGGGATAATCAGTATTAATCAGCAAACATCATCTCCATGTTTTTATAATAATTTATCATTGTTTTTATCTACTTTCTTAGAGTCTAAGCTTAAAGTGTCTAGTGCATTTTTTTGAATTTGCATTAATTAATGAGAGTTCACTCATTTCTATCTATTTATTTATGCACCCTTGTCTACATGTTATGTTATATAATGC